AAATATCAGGAAAAAAGATGACTTTAGTATTTCACTTAGTGCTATATTGGTCCCAATTTTTCCCCCATCACAAGAAAAAACAGCAATATTAGTGTTAATTTGTTTCATGCGTATTTTTATATGACTTTAAACTGTCGTGTTCTAAAATTACTATCGTTATTTGATTAACATCTCAAAAATGAAGTACACTTTATGTGCATCTCATCTCTATATTTTCATGCAAAAAGAAAAAAAAGATCATAAATGAATTTAGGTTTATTTCTTTTTTTACTTATCCAAAAAAAGTTTTTTCTTTTAATAATGCTGTAAAAATCAATAAGAAATTTCTTTTCTTCATGTTTTTTTTTTCCCCTCCCTTATTTAGCAACTCTTTTTTTTTTTTTTTTTTTTTTCAAATTAAAGTAACTCTGGAATTAAAAATAGTATATTTTATTGGTTTTTTTTGCGATAAAATTTGGCTTTATAGTACTAAAGTAAAACAAATTGTGCTATTTTTAGTTTTGTTATTTGTCCTTTTCAAAAGTAGTCTGGTACATGTATACCATGCCAAAAAACATCCTGGATTTTTCCTTTAGCCCACTAAGAGGCCTGCTATTTGCTCATTAACATAATGCAACATTAAATAAAATGAAATACAAAATATTATAAATGATTTCTGCATATTATTTGTTAGAAAAAAAATTTTTAATACAAAAAGGAATAAAACCATAATATAGCACAAATTTGTTTACACTTTTACTTTGCCGAGTGGTTAGTCAGTATCTGTGTTATATCTGTATCTTTGCTATTAGGTATCTGTGTGTAGTCCTCTGTTGTTAAAAACATTAAACAATTTCAAACCATATTCGCTAACCAATCCTGGTACAGCCATCTGAAAAGACATGCAGATTTTCTAATTTATAAGTTTTTTTTTTTAATTAAAGTATCCAAATACTTCCACACTGCATGTTTCTTACAATTTAAATTGTCTGACACAATGATATATGCTTATAACAATATGATGCAATAGCAGTAAAAATTGTAACCTATGTGCGTGCCTCACAAGCAGTTTGGATTTTATCTTGGCATAATTTTAAACAAAATCCACCTGTCATGCCACTTGACTTCAACTTAAGTAAATTATTTTTAACAAATTGAAAAGGTCAATCTTGAACATCTTTAATATAACTATACTATTTATATGCATTGAACTAATAAGATAGTTTAGTTCCAACATCTAATGACTCAACTCACTAATTAATTCTGGTTGCCCTTCAACATCTTTCCACTGTATGCAAAAATTATGATCTTCCTCAGGAATTTTTAATCTTATGGCAACATTCTTAAACATTAAGACAGCTGGAACTTAAGCTTTACACACAGTCTTTCTTTCCCGCATCATAAACACTATCTGTATTGTTATGTATTTTTAAAAGCATGTATTAAAATATGATAATACTTATATAAACGTTAGTGTTCTAGCACTAAATTTTTAAATCAAAAAAATTAGCATAGTTGCAGAAAATTAAATACTTTTAATTGCTAGAATTCATTCAAAAAATACTTTTTCATTAAAAAAAACATACTTTTTCTATAAAAATTTCCCCTTTATCAATAATTGATTTAGCAAATATGTATATATTGTGAAAAGTGATTATTCAAATTCTAAATTCATGCATCGTAATATATTAAAAATTGGGATTTTTAAAATCATGCAAAATTTTGAAGCAATAAACTTCGAAAAGGCGATTGAAAAACAAAACAGACTTATAATGGAATCAGTGCAAATTGAGCACATTAAAAACTGATGACTTAAATTTGCAATTCAAAATTTTCAACATTGTTTATTTTTTAAGAAAAAAAAATTCATTGTGTTCAGAAGTTCCCGCAAGCCGCAAGTTGTCAACTCAATTTATGCTTAAAAAAAACATCGCTAGGAGCTCAGAAAAGTCTCCTTTTCCTGAAAATATTTGCTTTTTTAGCCTTTTCAGTCAAAAAAGTTGTCGATCGCCTCAGACCGAAAATAATTGCAAATAGTCGTCAGTGGCAACCCAGTATTAAAGCAAATTCAATTTACAGGTTAAAATTTTATTTAGTCATTTTAACAATTAAAGTTATACAGGCATTACCCAGGGTTCTTTGATATATATCCGATATTTATTTTGAAATAAATATCATGATATTTTCAGCAAAATTTCTAAAATATCCCCCACGTTATTTCAAGATTTCTTTTAATCACTACACAAACTCATGCTACCGTTCACACTATCTTTACTTCCTACAAAAATCTTGTTTTAGATTGCACCTGCTCCCACTTGCCCCCTACCTACCTAGAGTACCTAAGTACACTCATTTGCCAAATGCTTGGTATAGAAAAAATGGAGGGAAAATGCTAGGCAGTCAGGTAGAACACTATGTTCAATTTTTAAAGACCTTTTTAGAAAACAGGGGGAAATTGGTACAAGTTTGCCAAGACAACAAACTTAAAATTCATAAAAACATCTTCAATTTAGTAAATGATATAAATTTAATGGTAAATTGTTTTGATTATATAAGCATTTTAGAACCGATTGCAAATGCTTTAGATGCAGTTCAAGCAAATAAATGCACGATAGCACAATGTGTTGAAATTTGGTGCAAACTAAAGGAGAAATTAGAAGCACATGGAAAAAAAGATGTGATGAAAAAGTTCTCAGAAAGAGAAGTAATGACTTTAACCCCTGCTCACTTAGCTGCTAATATGTTGGACCACAGATATTGTGGAAAAAAACTAAATGACGAGCAAACGCAAAGAGCTTTTAGTTTCCTACGCTCTGTTGACAAGGATATTTCACCTATGACTATGAATTTTTTGGCCAAAAAGAGCCCTTTTCCAGGCTTCAAGTTCGAAGATGACTTTCTCAATGTGGAACCCACAGTTTGGTGGGAAACTATCAAGTTAGAGGAACCATTAAAAGTCAGAATAACAAATCTTGAACAACTACTAACTGCCTCTCCTTCCACAGCTGGGTTAGAGAGAATATTATCTAGCTTGTGATTTATTCAGTTCAAGTTGCGGAATAGATATGGGACTGAAAAGGCAGAAAAACTTACTTTTATGTTCAAATATTTTAACAAGAAATAAAGAAAAAGTGTGTTTTAAAACTTAGTAAAAGTAAAATAAAAATGTCTTGTATTTTGGTGATTGCAAAAGATTTTGTTTCAGAGAACCTTTTTCATTTAAAAAAAAAAATTCTAATGTTTTATTTTATAAAAATTACAAATTTATTAATTACAATTAACATTAGGAATTTAGAATTTATATAAAATGAATTATTTTATGTTTTAAATTTGTATATAATGTCTGAAAAACAATTCCTAACAAAAAAGTTAATTTATGTTGAAGATACTAAATATAAAACAAAAATTTTAATATATATCAAAATATCAAATATATATCAAAATATCAGATATATATCAAAATATCGGATATTTTTGATATTTTCGAAAATATCATGATATTTACGATCCCTGGCATTACCACATATTAATAAGTATTCATGTCTTGTATCAAGTTTTAAGGGCTCCAATAGACTGACTCACTTTGCCTATATTACTAGTCTAAAGAATACACCAATTTCTTTTATTTTGTTTCCAATAACAGTGTATAATGAACAAAGTATTCTCATAAATTCAATAAAATATGTGAGCCATATCTGTATCATATTATTAAAACATTTCAAAAATACATAAAGCATTTAAATCTTAAAATGATCAATTAATTATAAATAATAAACTTTTATTTTAAAGATTTTTTTCCTCATCTTTCAAATACAATATTTTTAATTGGCTACAGGTGGCTCAGAGCAGAACTCTCTACCTATGGCAGCACTTTACATGTTTTCACCATTAACGTGTGGATTGTCATAAGGAAAGGATGTGTGTTAGTTTCCATCTTTATTTTCAAATAGATTAAAAACTTCTAAGTTAGGAAACTGCTTGAAATGGCTAAAACTGCATTAAGGTAGTCCTAAAAGAAATCATCTTGGAATTTTTGACACTTAAATATGAAAAATATTATAGAAAAGTAAAATATTTTAGTCTTATATTTGCATACATCTGAGAACACAGGGGAAGGGTCAAGACAAGGTTTCTTCTCCAATGGCATATTTAAGCTAAACTTTAGAATGGATACAATGGAAGCAGTTTATATTTTTAAAATTCCGGGAAGATTTTCATATTGGTATGAGCGCCTAAGTGATAGACAAGTTTTAGCATTTTCTGAATTAGTTGCAATTGAGATGCAAAGAAAGAAATATCACCTAAATGGACGAACTTGAAAGGTTAAAACCAAAGCGGATATTTGGGAAATGCTTTCTGTTTGAGTCAACTACAATCATCAAGCTGCCAAAAGAATTTTTAACTTGCAAAAACTTTAAAACACATGTCTAGGTGACGAGTTCTGTCCTTAGAGTTGGTCCCCCTCTGAATTTTTAAGTTTTTCATGGGTCATTGCCAGGAAGTTTCTAAGAGACCAGCATAGAATACTGCCCCTACTGCTATCTCCAATATAAGATAGAGTGTATTTAAGTTTGTCTTTAATTTATTTCAAGTTACATAATCAGGCAATTTAAGTATAGTATAAACAGAAACCGATATAGAAACATCCCCAAAACACAGATTGCATTAAAAGTCAACACTTTAGAGGAAAAACTTCGGCATAGACATATAAAACATCCCCTGAATTTCCCTAAAGTGATTTGTGGCAGAATAATCGCCAAGTCTTGGCAACTTCTGGGCAGCGACTTGCGAGAAACTTTTAAAAAAACATCACAGAAAGGGACCAACTTGAAAGGTATAACTCGTAGCCACCTCTGGGCAAACATCTATATGTTTGTTTTTTAAACATTTGCAATTCTAAAATTTATTTGACACCTTGGCGATTGTAGTTGGCTCTACAGATCACGTTACAGACACATTCCCCTTCTTACGTAGTTTCACTTTCAATACTAGTTCTTAACATTAACAAATAACACAAATAATTTTTATAATAATCAATACTCGATTTATTTCCTTCTATACAGTCATAATGAGAAATTTTATACAGAGATGATTGAGACTCAACATATTAATGATTACATGTTAAATTTCCGGCATTTCACCACCAGGTACCATCATTGTGATATTGTTACCATTCAAGAGAATTTGATCCAATTTAGTGACTCTTCGGCCCTCCGGGGTACTTTCATACTCTGTTACATCTTCAAGCACCATATTAACAAAGTCATCAAATCCAAGAAGAGTCCCGACGATTTCTTTATCATTTTTCATAATGATATGTATTTTTGAACCAATACACTTGTCGATAAGTTCTAACGGTAACAAAGTAGACGGATTAGGGATACTAGTAGCAGCCATTATATATACTACCTGTTATATATAAGAACAAAGCTTCGAAGATATTAATCAATTTTTAAATCACAAAAAGTTAATGAATAATTTTTGGACGTAATTATGATATATTTGTTTACAGTCTCTCTTCGGTTTACCGGAAAATCGAAAAAACAAAGTAAGCAGAATACAATCACAGTTAATTTAATTTTATTAACTGAAATTAAATATTTTCTTTGTGATCAAAATTAAAATGATCGTATTTCTTGGATGTATATATTAAATTATCATAAATTACTTGTTCTTGTTTTCAATTTATAATTTAAAAAAAAAAAGAAAAAGATTTATGTTTCAAAATCATATTAATGAACTGGCAAGGAAAAAGTCACCTTGGTTGCTCTCGTTCGTCTGCGAAAGTTTAGTTTTCGTTCAAGTTAGAGGTCACGTTCTCGTATCTTTAAGTCAACTGTCAAAAGCACCGGTATCTTTTTGCCGATAAAAAAAAAAACGTGGCTTTATAATTTGCTTCAATAAGACAATTTAAAACCTAACATGGCTCTAAATAAACTCGCNGAATGTATTTCTTGAATGTAAAATTAAATTATCATGAATTATTTGTTCATGCTTTCAATTTATAACTTTAAAAAAATGAAAAAGATTAATGTTTCAAAATATATTAATGAACTGGCAAGGAAAAAGTCACCTTGGTTGCTCTCGTTCGTCTGCGAAAGTTTGGTTTTCGTTCAAGTTAGAGGTCACGTTCTCGTATCTTAAAAAGTCAACTGTCAAAAGCACCGGTATCTTTTTGCCGATAAAAAAAACGTGGCTACATAATTTGCTTCAATAAGACAATTTAAAACATAACATGGCTCTAAATAAACTCGCTATTGATGCTTTGGACCTTAAGGATAAACGTGTATTGATGCGGTATTTATCCATCTCTATTAACTTTCCTATTATTGAATATTTTTTTTAACATTAAAAAATCCATGTATCCTTTTCATTTTAATTGAAAATTAAATTTAAATTTTTTAACTTTTATTTTCTTTTAGTGTGGACTTCAATGTTCCCATAAAAGATGGTGCTATCACTAATAACCAGAGGTATGTTATACGTTGCAAATCTGAAAACACAGCTGCATTACAAATTTCCTCAATTTTTTCATTATTTAAAACTTATTATGCCAATTAAATATACTCTAAATATTGAATGTTCGAAAACATCCGCAATATTTTTATACACTGGAGTTAAAGACTAACTTTTTTAATTCTTTCATGTGTCTTGAATTTCTTATCTATATTTGGTTTAAGCTAAGCTTTATTTTTTAGGATAGTTGCTGCTTTAGATTCAGTGAAATATGCCCTAGATAAAGGAGCGAAATCTGTTGTACTCATGAGCCATCTTGGACGTCCTGATGGGCAGAGAGTTGAAAAACATTCCTTAAAGATTGTTGCTGAGGAATTGAAGAAATTATTGAATAAGTAAATGATTTATAATTGTTAGTGAAGTAGTAGATTTTGTTTAAGTTTTCTGCTGTGAAACAGTCACTAAGACTATTTTGAAATAATTGCTTCTTTTAACTTTTTTAATTTCAATTTAGTTTGTGTTTAATTATTAAATATTTTAGTCATGTTGAATTATAATTTTTAATAATTTAACAAACAAGTGATTTTCCAAATAAGAACTTGTTTCAGAGCAGTTATGGAAAGGTTAAAGTCGGAGTCATTACTAAAATAATAAAAAAATTAATAGGTGCAAATAATATTTTTATTAACAGATAAATAATTTAATATGTTAATTTAGCAGCAGTAACATAATCACACAAAAATAAGTATATCATTAAGATATCTAAATTTTTTACCACTCTTAACACTTGCATATTCTGATTTCCAACAATAAGTTAGGAAATAAAAATCCAAATCTGTAGAAAAAAGTTTTGTTTATTCAGAGAAAGTATGTTTTTCTGTCTTATTAATGTATGTTGTACTCATAATTATTTTGCTTAGTGTTTCTTACTACAAAGGTTGTGTTAATTTTTTTTTTTTTTTTTATATTTNCTATCATTATGTAGAGATCACCTTACCGCTGGCCAGTTAGTTTGTGTTAATTTTTTTTTTTTTTTTTGTATGTTTTTTATAATTGGGATTGGAGATGAAACCAAATAAGAAACGAATTTCAAATTAAACATAAGAAGTACATAGTTTTGAAACAGCCAATCAAGTCAATTAATTACAGTTGCATACTAATAGCAAAATACATTTACTTAGTTTCAACCTGAATTTTCAAAGACTCAACTATTAATCTCTGCAAGTGTAATGTTTTCCAGTTTAAGCATTGTATATTTTAATTTCATACAAATGTAAATTGTATAATATTGTAAAAATGTAATAGGGTAACATTGTTTTAATCTATCAAAAATAAACCTTATTTTTATTTATTATTTTAGAGATATATTATTTCTCTCTGATTGTGTGGGCCCGGAGGTTGAAGAAAAATGTGCCAATCCACCTAGTGGGACCATCATTTTATTAGAAAATCTCCGTTTCCATGTAGAAGAGGAAGGTAAAGGTGTAGATGCCAGTGGTGCTAAGGTATTAATGAGTTACACATACTTTATTTATATTTGTGTTTACTTTGTATTTTAATTTGCCCAACTGTGAATTGAATGCATCTAGAATACAGATGTCAAATGCAGATTTATGTTCGTAAACATGTTTTTGCTCAACAGAAATTTCACATACGAACAAACTTATCTATAATCTATTCTTATATAAACATACAATAAATTTCTATGACTCTATTTTACGATTGCTTATAACATTAAAATCCTGGCTGAAAGCTTGTTAATCCTGCTTTGACTCTGAATCAAGTTTCTCATTCTCCAAATTTGCTACTAGATTTTTTAATTTATTTTCTCCTAACAATTTAAAAATTTATGGTCTCTATAATAGGATTGTTTAATGATAAAAATTATTACAACTTGAGAAACTTTTTGTTATGTGATACCTTTTCAATACTCCTTTAATAAATAACTAACAAATAATTGAATTTCACTAAATTTTATGTTTGTATAAATCCTTATTAAAAGTTGCTTTTAAAACCTTGTTTTCATAATTAAATTTAGAGTTGGAAAAAAGTTGTTCATATTTGGTTTTATCTACAACAGTTTGTTGAAAATAGGATTTGCAGTGGTAGGATTCTTAATAATTAAACCTATTTCTCATCTAAGAATGGTGTCACAAAACAGAACTTGAAAATTATATTGTCCGACATGTCCAGTTTGTATAAAAACTCTGTACGGACATGTATTTTTTACTCTTTCAATACCCAAGCGCTTATGTAGCTTATAGACTGCAGTGCTCTCAATATATCCTGTGATAGAAAAACCATTGTGATGAATCAAATTGAAATCCCAATGGACTATAATGATGTAAAACCTTTAAACTTTGATCCATCACCTGCAATTTAACATTTCAATTCATTTTATTTCTGCAATTTCACATTTCAATTCATTTCTGCAATTTCACATTGTTGGAAATAAGCATGTTTTTGTCAATAATACCTACTTATGACTTCAATATAAATTCATGCAAAACAATCAATGAATAATATTAAACTGTGCTTAATGCATTGCTAATAATACCTTTTAGTTTTTTGTTAATAATGCTTCTAATTTATAATTAAAAATTTGATATAGATACAATATTAATTTAATTTTGATTGATTAATAATAAGTATATTTATATTATTTCACTAATATGCATACTCAAAAGATGTTGGGGCATATTGTAGACTTACATGGCCCACTAGTCAAGAACAAACTTTGATATTTTTAGCCCTATCACAAAATATGAAACAATTGCTATTAGGTATTATTTAATTTCAAATCCAAATTAAAAATAGTGGCTATTTCAAAAGATTCAAAGTTTAAACTAGCTGCACTAATTTTTTGTTGTTAGAAATAGATAATGAATAAATATACAGTAAAACCTCCTGTGATTGACACTCCTGCAAAATGGACGCCTCTCAATACGGACATATTTTTAATTCTCCATGAATCTTCTATGAATAAACCATTATGAACATACTCCGCAAAACGGACACTCCCGTAACCGGAGATGAACAGCCATTTTTGCCCTGAAAATATTTTCTATCTCTATAAACCGGACACTACTTTTTCTAATTTTGAAGGGGAAAAAACTACTTTTGCTTCAAATTGCAAGGATTAAATTGCACTTTTCATCATTTTTAAAGCATGTAAATTTTTTGTCTTATCCAGAACTAAGAATATTGTTAAGCTATTTCACTACTAATGAATCAATCTTTCCTCTGTCACCTTGCCTTATCTTCGCAAACAAAGGGGAGAAAATTATACTGCTTTTGTGAAATAATTCCTACAGTGACATCTTTTGATCTTTTCACCTGAACAACACAGGTTATGAGACCCCTCAATTTGAAATATCTTAAATGCTTCTGCCACATTATTTTCTTAACAATTTGAAGACTACATTTAACATATCAAAGGTAGAAAACAAGACAGAAATATTTTCTTTGGGTTGTTCATATAACTAAAACATTTATTCAGACACTTGATAGATGATTAATTGTGAATAATCAACTCCATAGATCCTCGTGCCTTACAGGTATGGATTGCTTTTTTTTTCTGTACATAATGGGAGGTTACTTTTAAGGAAGTATTAACCATCTTTCCTATCAAGTGATAGGTAGGTGTTAGGGGGTGTAAACCCAATAATTGAGACCAACTGAGGACTAAAAGCTCCTATTCAGTATCATGTAACTAACTTGAATATCTGTGTAAATAGGAAAATTATATTCATTTATCTGTAGCTACATCTAGAATTATGTATTTATGTCAAACTTTTCCATATATTATTTTGTTATGGTAAAGAATATCTTTTAAAGTTTAAATAAATATCCTTGTAGATTATTTAATTATTTCAATATATCCTTAATAGTATTCTAAAGAAAATTACGGTGTTAAACTTTGTTATGAAGGTACCCTTCCCGTAAACGGACAATTTTTTTGGTCCCAAGAATGTCCGCTTAACCGAGGTTTCACTGTATATATATTTATTCAATATCTATTTCTATCAATATTGATATATTTTTAAATATTGATAAAGTTATTTTGCCATAAAATATATTTTAACCTATCACTTCTTCAAGATGAGCTAAATTCTATTTGACAAGTCACTAATCTTAATCCTATGATCTAATCTCTTAATCTTAGACTAGTTTAATCTGACTCTTGTTTTGTCGAACTCAACTCTATATTCAACTAAACTTATACTTTTCTTATTTTTAGGTCAAAGCCAAACCAGAAGATGTTGAGAAATTTCGTGCATCTTTGACTAAATTAGGTGATGTGTATATAAATGATGCATTTGGAACTGCTCATCGAGCTCATAGGTATATTGAGTTTCAACCTGAAT